CTTCCTTCCTTCCTTCCTTCCTTCCTTCCTTCCTTCCTTCCTTCCTTTCTTTCTTTCTTTCTTTCTTTCTTTCTTTTTTTCTTTCTTTCTTAAGACAGGGTTTCTCTGTGTAGCCTTGGCTGTCCTGGACTTGCTTTGTAGACCAGGCTGGCCTTGAACTCACCTCCTGCCTCTGCCTCCCTGAGTGCTGGGATTACAAGCATTCACCACTATGCCCGGCTCCTACTTTTCTTTGAGACAGAGTGTCCCCCTGAACTTGGAGCTTACTAATTTGGCTGGGCTGGCTGGCTAGGAAGTCCCACGGATTTTCTTGTCTGTCTTCCCAGTGCGGGGATCCGGAAACACACTGCTGTAGTAGTTGTTTTTATGTGGGTGCTGGACACCCAAACTCAGGTCCTCTTGCTTGTGTGGCAAGCCCTTAATCACCGAACCATCTCTCCAGCCCTTTCATGCTCGTGTTCTTATCTTCTGTGTCAAGATGAATGCCTACTCCACTTTGAGACTAAAGAGAGACAGGTATTCCTCGCTCACCGTCCTTCACTGTCCACTCCAAGTCTCCTGTCTGCTTGTTCAGGGCATGGAGACTTCCATCCAAGGTAGATACAAACAGAAGGCTCTCTGGCCTGAGGGTCTGGACCTGGGATGAGAAATGAAAGCATCTCATCTGAGTGTTCCAGGACTCCCTTGCCTTTGCCCCAGGTTGCCTTTGCTGGTTGATGAGACAGAGATAGGAAGAAAGATGAACTTGACCTATGGAGGAGGTCACGGTGGGAGCTGAGGGAGCTGAGGAGACTTTGAATCCCACTTCCTCCTTTCCCCCGTGTCCTTCTGTCTTCCAAAGCAGACCAAAGGGCTGTGTGTGTGATATGAATCTGTGTGCACATGTGTGTTTGTGTTACATGCACCTGTGTGCACGTTTGTGTGTGTATGTGCATCTGTGTGTGTGTGCACGCGCACACATGCATAAGTTAGTATTCGTTCTCTTCCCTCATCACTTTCCAGCTTTTGAGACAGGTCTCTAGCTGGGGCTCATTGACCCTCCTAGACTAGCTAGAGTGACCCAGGGATCTGCCTGTCACCTCACTCCCACCCTGACTCCTGCCACCCAGCACGGGGGTGACTTCACATTCGTGCCCACACTCATCGGGCTTTGGTTCGCGTGCTGGTGATTCAAACTCAGGTCCTCAAGCCTCAGTGGCAAACAAAAGGCCTTCCCTGACCTATATACATCTTCCTTTTGGGATGGTGACTATGAGTATCCCCATTGTCCAGGTCAGGGAGACTGAGGCACAAGTGGGCGTGGTTTTCTTCTCCTCACTTAAATGTGCACCTCTTTTTGGAAGACCCTTTCTGCCTCCCCAGACTGGCCCAGCTGCTTTTAGTGCCAAGTTCTGTAGTCCCCCTGATGGCTGCAGGAGGGAGGCCTGGAGCTACCTTATATCTGGCCCCTGTTGGGCTCACTTGCCAGCTCTGGGCCCTCCTTGAGCAAACAGGGTGAGGCTGAGCTCAGAGCAGGAACCCTAACATCCGGGTGGCCCAGCCGCACCCCTGAGAAGGCCACATCCTGCTTCAGGACCCTCAGGTCTGGGGTGGAGCCAGTGGTATCTGTTGGAGAATCAGGAGTCCACCATCTAGCTCCTTTCTTTTGGGCCTCAGTCTTGCCATCTGCAACTTGATAGAGAGATGAGCCAGGGAAAAGGCTGCCTCAGATTGGCTGCCCCCAAAAGAATTTTGTTTGATGCTTACAGTGATTGAAATATTGCTTTTAATTATTATTTATTATTATTATTTGTGAGACAAGACCTCCCAGTCTAGCTCTGGTGCTGGCCATTGTAGCTCAGGCTGGCTTTGAACTTTTGATAATTTTCCTGCCTCTGCCTCAGGAGTTCTGGGATTAGAGAAATAAAATACCACATCCAAAATTTTTTTTTTTTAATGGGAACATTTACTTATTTACTTATTATTTTTTGACACTGAGTCTTTCTATGTATTCCTGTCTGTCCTGGAACTTGTTATGTAGAGGAGGTTGGCCTTGAACTCATAGAGATCTGCCTGCTAGGCTTAGAGGCTCACATTTTTATTTTTAAAAATCCAGATTTTTAAATTATCATTCTTATTTCTACTTTCTCCAGACACATCAGATCTGGTGGCACCGGGCTCCCACTATTACTTGGCAAGTATGGATGGGGCCTGAGCTAGGAGAGGGGCTTCTGGTGTTTAATTCTACCCTGTCACTTTAACTGGGGAGAGACTCCAGGTAGGGCGCACACTTGGACCCCTGGCTGGGCAGAGTGAACTGATCCGCTCCTAGCAGGCGTGTTGGAGCAGATCTACATTTGATCATTAGTCCCTGAACTTCCAAGCCTGAGGGGAGGAGATGGTCCAGCCCTACAGTCCAGAGATTGAACCACGGTTTCGCAGCCAGTTTCTCAGCCAAAGACTCTAAGTGGATCATACTCTTCAAGAAAACGGGATCCTCAAAAGGTTTTAGAGGCCTGACTTTACTGTCTCCTCCCTATGACCTCTCCCCTCACCTCTTTCCCTGCTACAGAAGAGGCTGAGCTAGGTTTTAAGAGGCATCTCCTCAAGTTATGAGGGGCGACCTGAGCCCAAGGGAAAGAGGGAGAGAGAGAGAGGTGCTCCTATTGGCCAGCTACATCCCCAGTCCCCTGGCCCTGCACTTACCTGTGGCCCAAGCGTCCCCAGCAACGTCGCAAGCTGCAGCAGGAACCAGAGGGGAGACCACAGTGAGGACCCCGAGACTGATCCCGCCATAGCCTGTGGGCAACCACAAAGGAGCCAGTTCCCTCGACTCCCAACCTGCTTCCAGGCTATAGCGGAGCTCCCTCGGCTGGGAGACTCCGCCCCCTACAGAGCCAGCTGGCAAAGCTGTCTCAGGCTCGCCCTGTGGTGGCCCCCGCCCTTGCCACCACACCCACGTTTCACCCAGTCCCTTCCACCTTCGCGCCAAATGTGGACAGTTTGAGCTTTCCCGGGAGGGATTTTGCTAACGGAGGCCAGCGCTAGGGAACCTGCCAAGGTCTGCGTTGACTTGCGCTGACTTGGTTTTTAGATTTATCTATCCCTGAGCCATCTCTCCATCCCGTCAACTTCTTCCTCCGTCCTTACCATCGCGAGGCTCAGGCTCACAAAGGGGCCTAGAATTCGGACATCTTACCCCAATGCTTGTGCTCTTTATCATTTCTTCACATGGCCTGCCTCTCGCCACTGAGTCGTTACGAGCTATGAATTAACTGAAGGAGTCATTCGTCCAACCGATATTTCATGATCTACTAGGCTAGAAGGCCGAGCAAGACAGAGAAGGTCTTTATCTTTGTAGAGCGTATAGATCCACGTAGTTAAGACGTCAAGGCTGGGCAAGGTCAGGGGTTCAAGAATCTGCCGCCATCTTAGATGTTACACGAAACCCTGACTGAAAAACAAACAAGGGCAAAGGAACAAAGACTTCAGACATTACGGAACAGAAGGGCCCTTGGTAGGGTCCTGACCATCTCAAAAATAAAAATATTTTTATGCTGCGTGGGTATTTTTGCCTGCGTGGGTGTCAGTGGCAAGAAGGAGCAGGAGTTTAAGGTTGCACAGTGAGTTCAAGGCCAGCCTGGGCTATGGGGACTCGTGTTTCAAAAACAAAGCAAACAACAGATGCCCCTGGCCAGCTTCTCTCCTGTTATTCCGGGGGGTGGATATCAGCCCGGTTACCTCCTAAACCCATAACTTGTTGCTCCAGTCCTTCTGCTCCAGAGCACTGCACACAACGTCCCTCAGACTCCTTCCTTTTCTAGCTGCAGCTACAATCCTGGACACTCTCCCCCCTCCCCTTTTCTTTCCCCAAGTCACATCAGACAGGTCTCTTCACATACCGCCCCCTTTGGCCTCCTTCGTGATGATAACTAAATATATGCACACACACAAATATATGCATATATATAAACACACACACACACACACACACACACACACACACACACACACACACACACACACACACACACATATATATATATATATATATATATATATATATATATATATATATATATATATATATATAACTTCAGAGTTATATGTTTTGCCATGTAAACCTTAGGGCCTGAGTTCAGATCCCCAGCACCCACGTAGAAAAGCCAGGCGTAGCCCAGTGCTGGGGACGCAAAGACAGTGGGTTCCTGTTGCTCGCTGGGCGTCCAGTTAACTCGAGTGGCGATCTGTGACACACCTTGTCTCAAAAAATAAGGCGGAGAGGTGATCGAGGGAGGTACCTTGACGCTGACCTCTGGCCTCTACATGTGTGCACAAACATGAACATGGTTACAATACAACACAGCACAGACAAAAAACAAAACAAAACAAAAACGTTTATTTCAAGTTGTCTGAACCTGAGTGAAGTTACCCTAAGTTCAACCGAGGAAAGGTCAGTCTACCCCAGAGGAACAAATGGCTGACAGAGGTAAGGTTCAAATCCAGTTGCCTGATTCTAGAATCCAGGCTCATAAACAAATGCCCTACGGTTTAGCACCACAGCCTAGCCCAGTTCTCCCCCAGGGGCTCCTTGCGGTGAATGAGGCACGCGTGGGGGCTCGGATGCCCCCGGAGCCTGGCAGGCCACGGAACCCGGCACACTGACGCTTGTACAAGGGCAAAGGGCAGTGTTCTTCTGAGACAGCGTCAGCCCCAGCAAAACTCTGGGAATGGTTGGCGCAGGCCTGGCCAGGGTAATAGTTTGCTCTCTCTGGACCAATTACCGAGGTTCAGTGGGCAGGAGCGTTCTTATTGGCGACCCGGGTGGGTCACGGGTTCAGCGGCCGGTGGAATGATAGGTTCAGCCTAACTCAATCTGCGTGGGTGGTGTTAAAGAAGGACGGATCAGTGTATTTCTTCTTCTGTGGCTTCCTTTAGTTTGTTATGGCTAATGTTGGTGATGGTGAATTGTGAAAATTACCACAGCTTTAGAGGCCTAAGGTGGAGAAAAGGAAGCACCAAGGTTCTTAATTCACTCGGCTTTTGTTTTCTGTTTGGTTGTGTGGTTTGATTTTTCCAGACGGGGTTTCTCTGTGTAATCTTGGATGTCCTGGAATTCGCTCGGTACACCCGGCTGGCCCCTGGCCTCGAACTTATAAAGCTCTCTCTGCCTCTGCCGCCCAAGTGCTGCGATTAAAGGCACACCACTGCTCGGCAGTTCACTCGGTTTTACCCCTCAGATTCACCTTTATCCTACTCTCATATACAACTTGTTTTAGGGTTTCTACGGCTGTTATCAAACGCCATGACCAAAGGCAACTTGGCGAGGGAAGGGTGTATTTAGCTTACACTTCCACCTCACTGTTCATCATCAAAGGAAATCAGGACAGGAATTCCGACGAGGCAGGAACCTGGAGGCAGGAGATGATTTCGTGTTCGGAGGCCATGGAAGGGTGCACATACTGGCCCCACTCACCATGGCTTGCTCAACCGGCTTGCTCGCTTGCTTTCCTTAGATTTATTCATTATTTATACAGCATTCTGCCTGAACGTGTGCCTGCAGGCCGGAAGAGGGCACCAGATCTCATTATGGATGGTTGTGAGCCGCCATGTGGTTGCTGGGAATTGAACTCAGGACCTCTAGGAAGAGTAGCCAGCGCTCTTAACCTCTGAGCCGTCTCTCCAGCCCTCAGGTTGCTTTGTCAATAGCTTGGGCCTTCCTCTATCCATCGCTCTTAGGAAAACGCCTTACAGCCGCATCTCATGGAGGCACTGTCTCAGCTGAGGTTCTTTCCTCTCAGACGACTCTCGCTTGTGTCAAGTTGATCTAAAACAACCAGCACACCGCTTCATTGACATTTACTTGGCCCGAATCCCTGCTGTGAAGAGCATGTATTTGCTCAGCCCTGAGCGCCTCTTGAGGATGCGTGAGGCTGGTAACCCCTCCCAGCTCCTCCTATGCGGGCTCAGGGCTCACTGTGCTGCACAGACCTGCACGCGACTGAGTAGCGTAAGAGCACAGAAGGTGTGTCCCCAGTCACACAGCGGAACCAACTTTTTTTTTTTTTTTTTTTTTTTTTCAAGACAGTTTCTCTGTGTAGCCTTGGTTGTCCCGGACTCACTTTGTAGACCAGGCTGGCCTGGAACTCAGAGACTGGCCTGCCTCTGCCTCTGCCTCCCTGAGTGCTGGGATCATAGGCGTGCGCTGGTTGTGCTTCAGGGGTCCTCAGCTGGGATGGCATCTCCAGACCTTCCTCGTGTCTTTCTAGAGGGATCTTCTGCAGGTGTCAGAGTCAAGATCCCACGCAACCGCAGATAACCCGCCAGCCTCACGACATGAGATCCCTCCGGAGGAAACGTCAACGCTGAGGTTCCGGAGCTTGAGAAGGTGGAGAGAGGACTCTGAAGTTAAGATTTTGAACTGCTCTTGCAGAGGGCGGACGCTCCATTCCCAGCTCCCTCACAATAGCCTGTAACTCCGTTGCAGGGATCCTGCGCCCTCTTCTGGCCTCTCCTGGAACTGCAGGCTAGTGGTGCCGGCAAACACTCAACCACATTAGGGGGAAAAGCCTTAAAAACAATTCCTTGGAGTTGTCCGTTGCTTTGTGCGCTGAGCAGTGCCTTATTCCCTCAATCCTCCCAGGAGTTGTAACTTTATCTCCAAAGCAGTTTGTCAACCAAGAAGCTAAGCCAACCTATGTATGGCTATATTGAGCATTTGTGTTGTTCTGAGAAATGGGCTTAGAGTACAAGTATTTCTCCCAGGTGTGGTGGTGCTTAGGAGGCAGAGGCAAGGGGATTTCAGGGAGTCTGAGGCCAGCCTGGTCTACGAAGTGAGACCCTCTCTCAAACAAACAAATATTTATCATGTAAGTGGATTTGATTAGCGTAGGATGAGGATTACAAATGAACCGGAGTAAATTATTTGCGTGGGTGTGATTATAGTAAAGTTATATGCGTTCTAAAAACATCATAAAATTCGGAAAACAAGACAACGCAAGTCGCTCCTGTTCATGTTCTGGACTCCGAGCCCCTGTGTTGTCATTCCCGTCTTCTCCTTGCTGTTTTTCCTCTATGCCTATAACCCTGGAGAGACCAAAGTTGAAAGACGAACACATTTTTCACCCCCTGGAATGTCTTTTCTCCTGTAGGGGAAAAAGCCTTTCTCAAATTGAAGAGAGGTTGCTTACAAAACAACAACAGCAACAACAACCCACCTGATTTTGGAGATATCAAAGAGCTCAGGGTATATATCTAGATTTGAAGGAATGACTGATGAGACAAGAATTGCTGAATACACTGACTCTTTCCCCATCTTATGGTCCTGGAGATCTAACTCATGCCCTCCTTGAGTGTGCTAGGCGGGAGCTCTACCGCCGAACTTCACCCCCAGTCTCCAAATAGATTCCTATCGTTTTGTAATTTACCTAGTATGGTGATTTGTGTGAGAATGCCCCCCATAGGCTTATATATTTGAATGTTTGGTTCCCGGTTAATGGAACTGTTTGGGAAGGGGAAGGGTATGTGACCTACTGAAGGAGGCCTATCACTGGGGCTATGCTTGGAGGTCTTAAAAGCCCATGCCAGGCCCAGCCCCTCTTGCTCTCTGCCTGATGCCAGCAAATCAGGATACGAAGCGCTTAGCTACTGCTTCGGCATCATACCTGTATGCTTTCTGCTATGATGATTATGGGGTGGTCCTCTAAAGTGCAAGCAAGCCCCCAGTTAAACACTTTCTTTTATAAGAGTTGCTTTGGTCATTGTGCTGGATAGTTTTATGTCAACTTGACACAAGCTTGAGCTGTCTGAGAGGAGGGAACCTCAATTAAGA